GCGGCGCGCATGCGCAGCTCCGAGCCCGGCGTCCCTGTTCCCGCGTCGCGGGTCCCGCCGCCGGCGTCCCGCTCGCGGTGGGTCCTCCGGGGTGCGGGTGGTGGTGGGGAGGTTTGGGCTCCACACAGGCCAGGCCGCCCGACTTCCCACGCCGAACTCCCCATTGCAGTTCGGGTCCGAAAAAGCTCGTGCAGCTGAGGGTCCCAGCTGGCCAAACGCCGGGCGCTCGACCTAGCCGTGGGTCTTTTTGGGGGGGGTACCGGGGGGTGGGGGGCTTCTCGTTCCCTTCTTCCCCGGTGGAAGCCAGGAGACAGCCTGTGTTACAGCCTCCCCGGAATCTCGGATACTCTGCGTGGCGCAGATGCGGGGAGGGATCCAGGTCCATCTCTCCCCCGACGGCTGGGCGCGGCGGGCTCCTGTGTGCTGGGGGGAGCGGCCGGCGGGGGCAGCGGCCGGCGGGGGGAGCGGCCGGCCGGCTCGAGGGTGGGCCGAGAGCAAGTTCTCCTTTATCTCAGTCGCTCCCTACACGGAGTCAGAAACCAGGCCAGAAGCAGAGATGCATGTAGGCACCGTTCTCGGACGAAATTGGCCCCATAATCAGGTGTCGGGTGTGCGAGGTGGCCTTTCATGCCGCCCGACTGCTCAGCCGCATTTTCCACGCTCCCTTGTATTTGTCCTACCTGATGCACTTGAAAAGGAAGAGAGAGTGTCTGCATTGTGCGCCTTCACACCTCAGCGCGAGGCTCCTGCTGCTGGACTCCTGTCGCTTCTCTGCGAAAGGAACTTCTCTCTCAGGACTGAGCTCAGTTGCCCCTCCGTCCTTCTGAAACTGTTGTTTCTAGCCCTCCAAGGTCCGAGCAGTCTATCTTTTGTGTCCTTCGAATTCAACTAAGGAAGGGTCCTGAGCTCCTAACGTTTATGTGCACAGTGCTCAGGCCCCTGGACTAAGGGAGCTTAGACTCCTCGGGCATCAGAAGGTCGTTCTCCTGGACCTGGTAAACACACCAGGCTGGAGGCAAACTAGTGAGTCTGCTGTGAACCTGAGTGGGCAGGAAGGGCTCAGGCAAGGAGGATCTGGGGGCAGAGGGCAGTGACAGGCCTGCCTAAGACCAGAACTCAGTACATAGGTGTTATCCAGATGAACAGCACTTTTTTATTTTTTTTAAAGGTTTATTTGTTTATGCACACAGGAACTGAGGTGCAGGCCAGAGGTGTGGAGGGCGGTTAGAGGAGTCACCAGAGACAGTGGGGAGCAGAACAGGCAGATTGATAAAGTACACTGCCCAGGGGGCAGTGGGGAGACAGGAGAGGTCTGCGCCATGCAGGCCACTCCCTGGCTGGGGTTGAACTCGTGCTGCAGTGGCTGTCGCCGGCTTCATAGCGCTGCAGCTTAACCTGTTGTGCCACAGGGAGGCCCTTCCTTGAGAAATCTTGAGTGATACCCTCTGACTGCTACAGCCACCTTTCCCCAGTTTTTTACAGGAAAGGGCTTCCCTTCATGAGGAAGCTAAGGCTGGCTGTGATGGCTGAGCTGTGAGGTCAGACTCAGGCTCCATCATCTGGTCACTGTACTGCTCTTTCTTTCATATCAATTTGCATCTAACAATTTTTACTAAATCTCTCCCATGAAAGTTCCAGAGTTCAGTGCATTCACAAGGACATAGAGGAGGAAAGGTCTGTTGTGGGTAATTACTGTGTGAGAACCCAGTGCGGTCCTGGAGGAGGAAAAACCTAGGGCGTGATAGGGCCATCGTCCTGCCCTATTGCTGGGTCTCGGGAGAGGAGCTCAGGAGTGGTGTGTGGCTGCACCTTCAGGGTCAGGTGGGCCATGACCTAGAGTCAAGGGAGGATGAGCCTTCCAGAAGGAAGGAAAAAAGGTTTGGAGACCATGAGCGGGGAGCCCACCATGAATGGGCTCTGTCCTCAGCCCTGTATGTGTGTGTTCATCTGGGAGGGACTCATTAGCCAGAGGAGACCGCCAAGCCATGGATCTAAGAGAAAGTGGGGGGGGGGGTGCTCCCTGGTGGCGCAGCAGGTGAAGCCGAAGCATGACGAGGCTGTCCGCAGCCGCTGTGACACAAGTCCATCCCCGCCCCAGGGGTGATGCAGGGTGCAGCGGCCCTTCCTGTCTCTGGTGAACCCGCTCACCCACCTGAACCCCAGCTCTTTTATGCTAAGTCTCTTGAAAAAATATGAGAAAGTGGTGGGTTGCGTGGTGTTGGATCACTGAGCCAAGTGACCAGATTGCAGGTGATCTGGGGAGGAGTGCGAGGCCAGGTAGACTAGGTGTTTAGCTTCTAGTTAGCCACATGAAGAGCGGACTGTTTTCTCCCAGCTGACTGGCTGCAGTAGTGCTGCTGGGGGCCTGGAACGCCCGTTGTGAGTCGCCTCGGAGGGCCCGGGGCTGCCAGCTTGCCCAGGACCTTGCTTTGGAGCTTTACACCAAGGCGTCTGCCCGCTTCTTCCTCCTTTGCCTGTTACTCTCCGGGGATTAGACCCCGAAGTCCTGGGCCTCTGACATAACCTCCTCCCTTCCCGAGTCTGCAGGAGTCTGCAGGAACTGCGCGCCCCCTAACTTTCCGCCACCAGTCTTATTCGCCATCCAGGTCACAGCATGCGGTGATGACTTGTTGTTTTTGCCTGTTAGGTAAATGGTGTGTTGAAAGCAGGGGTTTTAGTTTGCTGGGGCAATTTTACAAATGCTGAGTCCTCAGAACTGGTTGGCTGAGAATAGCGGGGGAGGGGGTGGTGATAGGAACAACTGTGGGGCTGCCTCTGGGAGTCACCCACAGCTCCGTCACCCACACCTTATGGTGCCAGAATGGGCCGCTGTGTCTTTTTGGAGGAGGATGTGCTGACTCAGCACCCTTAAGCCGCGGGGTGCGCCCCCTCGAGGTCCCTCCTCTCTGGAGAGGACAAGGGTGAATCCCTCCCTCTGGGGTTGTGTGCCTGTGGAAGCTGGGGAGTCCCGTGCCTCCCTGGAGCCCCGCCTCCGGGCTGAGAGAGGACAGCAAAGGGAAGTCTCCCTTCTGTCTTCCTGGTCACCCCGCGAGAGCCTCCCTGGCGGGGGGAGAGGAACGGTAGGCCGCGGAGAGGACCGGAGCAGTTCCATGGGCGCGAGCGCTAGTCAGGCGTCGCGCCTCGGTCTCAGGGCAGGTCCGCTTGGGCGTGGCGGGCCGCGGCGGGCTCCAGGCAGGCGTGGGGGCCGCTCACAGGGCCGAGGGGCAAGGCTCATGCATAGTCCTGGTTTCCCACAGGAGCTTGGCTTCCCGGGAGCAAGGTAGTGCCTGCGGTTTCAGAGTCAGGTCGCGGACGTCCTGACTGGATCTGATTATCTGATGAGGCTTAGAGACCTTAAGAACAGGGACGTGTTTCGGAGCAGGATGAGATTTCTTTCTGGAGAGTGACAGGGATTTAATCGGTTCCTGTTTGCCCTTTTCCTCGTCATGTTAGCCGCTGGCTTCTGAGATGACCAGTATTTAGGAGTAACTTTGGCTAGGAAAGAACTTTCTCTACACATCCCCTCAGGCCCTGCTGGCATCACTTTGTGGTCAGAGTTGGGTTTTCTTTTCTTTTTCTTTTAAGATTTATTTATTTATGCACAAAAGAGCTGGGGTATAGGCCAGAGGTATGGGGGCGATGAGGATTCCCCAGAGACATTGGGGAGCAGCACAGGCAGATCCACTGAAACACTGCTGAGGGGAGCAGCGGGAGACAGGAGGGGTCTGCTGCGCCCTGGGGGGTCACCCCCTAGCCAGGAGGATCAAACTCAAGCTCCAGTGGCTGCTGCGGACAGCTTCAGAGTGCTGCGCTTAACTGCTGCGCCACCAGGGAGAGACCAGAGTTGGGTTTTCTTCACTCCTGTAAGAGGAATAGTAGTGTTTGTGGAAGGCGAAGAGGGGTGGGTGTCACGGTCACAGCCTCCAAAAAGCTGCAGAACTCTCGAGTACAAGTCACAGAACTGATGGCATTGTCTAGTGAACGCTGCCTTCCACACCGTTACCTTGACCCTGAAACAGACTCTGCCGTATGGACCCAAGGCAGAGTACGAGCAGGTGCTAAACCCTTGGCTTGGAGCCCTTTGCTCTCCCTCAGGGAGAACCTTGAGGCAAGCTTTCCCGGCTGGGGGTGGCACTCTGGCTGCAACAAGAAAGAAGCATTTGACAAACTTGTTCAGAATGCGCTGAAAATTAGGGCCCTGTGCTGTTGCACCCACTTTTTGGCGAGGGCTCCAGTGGTCTCTCCCTGTCTGCAGGCCCTGTCGTCCTGGCAGCCCCTCCCCTACCTCTGCGCCCTCTGATGTGTGGACTCACACAGGATGAACTGCGAACTTCTCGCCACGTGTAGTGCCCTAGGGTACTTGGAGGGAGACACGTACCACAAGGAACCAGATTGCTTAGGTGAGCGCCTTTCCGAGGAAGCAGGTTAAAAAAGAATCGCATGCGTCACGGAGGGCAGTTGCGTTTCTCAGCCCATGGGTATGAGGAGCATGTGGGCCGGGGCGGAGCTCTTCCGGGGTTCTCTCACGTGTTGTTCTGTCCCTGAAGAGAGCGTGAAGGACCTTATCCGCTACCTGAGGCATGAGGATGAGACGCGCGATGTGCGGCAGCAGCTGGGAGCAGCCCAGATCCTGCAGAGTGACCTTCTGCCCATCCTGACCCAGCACCGCCGGGACAAGCCGCTCTTTGATGCTGTCATCAGGTCCAGCTTTTCAGCTTTCCCTGTCCCAGCCTGTCACGCTAGGATGGAGGGGCCCGTCGCCCAGTGAGGAAGCTTAGCATCTTCGCCCTCGTTGTCTCCCCAGGCTGATGGTGAACCTGACCCAGCCAGCCTTGCTCTGCTTTGGCTCTGTGCCCCAGGATCCTAGCTTCCGGCACCATTTTCTGCAGGTGCTGAGTTACTTGCAGGCCTACAAAGAGGTGAGCTTTCCCGCAGTCTGGGCGCAGTGAGGGCCAAGGGAAGGGTGGATGGGTACTCCCCAAGGCTTGTTGCCCTACTTCTAGGCCTGTGCCAGTGAGAAGGTGTTTGGCGTCCTCAGCGAGACCTTGTATGAGCTGCTCCAGCTGGTGAGTGAGTCTGCTGCCGTTCGGGCTCTCCTGGGACGCCGAGGGCCTGGATCTCGGGACAGCGCCCCGTGGGCACTGTTAGGCCGTCCTGAGTTTGGTGCTGTGGGCCCAGTTCTTGGGGCTACACCCTCCAGTCAGCAGCTTCAAGGCTGCTTGCACTCTCCCTTTGCATCCTGCTTCTCCTCCTCGCCTCAGCCCTCCAGCTGGGGTGGACGCTACCTGCGGTGGTAGGAAGTCTCTGGGCCTGACCCCCTCACCTTTCTTCCGACTAGGGCTGGGAGGAGCGGCAGGAGGAGGACAACTTGCTGATTGAGCGGATCCTGCTGCTGGTCAGGAATATCCTCCACGTCCCCGCCGACCCGGATCAGGAGAGGGTGAGCAGGTCTTGGGCTGTTTGTGGTCTGTGCTTGATGGAGCTAAACTGCCTTTTGAGGCTTTTCTGTCCTCCGAAAAGTCTGGGCAGAGAACCTAAGGACCGTAAATTTGGCGCACAATTTGGAGCGCCTCAGGCGGGGGCGGGAGCGAGCGCCTGCCTTTGTCTCCTCCCTCTCTGTGCGCAGCGGGTGGACGACGCCGCCAGTGTCCACGACCAGCTTCTCTGGGCGACTCACCTGAGCGGCCTGGACGACCTGCTGCTCTTCCTGGCCAGCTCGCCCGCTGAGCAGCAGTGGAGCCTCCATGTGCTCGAGATCGTCTCCCTTCTGTTTCGGGACCAGGTGAGCGCCTGCTGCCCGGCCGGCCCCTCACCCTGGAGCTTTCCTGCTGCGTGGCCGAATCGCCCTTGCGGGGCCACGCGCGCAGGCGACGGGCGGGGCAAGGCTGGGTCTCCCGTCACCAGCCCTGTGGCGTTCGCTTTCTGTGCCCGTGGTGTGCACCCAGACTAGGGTGCTGTGCACTCGCCCCCTTCCTCTTTCTGAGCCCAGAGCCCCGAGCAGCTGGCAGGAGTGGCGCAGGGGCGCGGCGCTCAGGAGCGGAGCTCAGATGCGGCCGAGCTGGCAGTGCTGCGGCAGCGGGAGGTGGCGGAGCGCAAGACCCGAGCCCTGCAGCGAGGCAACCGGTGAGTGCCCGGCGCCCGCTGCGTCCCACTCCTGGGTGTGCGGCCTTGGGCCTCTGTGGGTGGCGACCGCAGGCCTTGACTGTGACCACAGGCTCTGCAGGGCTCCTGGGGAATCGGGCTTCCCTGACTTAGTTTTTCTCCTCCTCAGACATTCTCGATTTGGGGGCTCCTACATCGTTCAGGGGTTGAAATCCATCGGGGAGAGGGACCTCATCTTTCACAAAGGTCTCCACAGTGTGAGTATGCACCACCTAGGGCAGGGACCCCGTGGGGCTGGGGGCCGTGCGAGGAAGGGTGAGCGTTTCTGCATGTGACAACTCTGTCGTGGGTCTGAGAACGCTGGAGACACAGGGAGAAGTGGCGGCCCCAGTGCTGGCCGCACTTCACCTGTATGGACAGTTAGTACCAGGTGAAACTTCTAGAGCTTGTTTGAGAAAACCGCAGCACCAAGAATGTGGAGAGAGCTGTGGGTGGCAGAGAGGAGTGACTCATCCCAACCACACCCCCAGCTCCAAAACTACAGCTCGGATTTGGGGAAGCAGCCCCGAAGGGTTCCCAAACGTCGCCAAGCTGCCCGGGAGCTGCCCGCCCAGCGCCGCTCTGCCCTCAACGTGCGGCTCTTCCTCAGAGACTTCTGCGCTGAATTCCTGGAGAACTGCTACAACCGGCTCATGGCCTCGGTGAAGGTAAGCGCCTCAGAGGGCGGACGGAAGGGCAGGCTGAGGGCAGCGAGTGAGGGACCCGCCCTGGCTGTGGGCGACTAGGGAGAGATGGGGGTGCTGGGGAGGGAGTGGGTTATTGATGTGCCTGGAAAAATATCTAGAGGAATTGCCTCAGGGGAAGGGAAAAGGAGCGTGGAGAACCTGAGGAGAGCACGACAGGTGACACTGGTGCCGTGGTGTCCAGGGCTCGCCCCACGGCCACCGGACAGGAGAACATGGAAGCCCCGAGGTCACACGGTGGCCCTCTCTTCCTGGACGCTAGGATCATCTGCTTCGGGAGAAGGCCCAGCAGCACGACGAGACGTACTACATGTGGGCCTTGGCTTTCTTCATGGCCTTCAATCGAGCCGCCTCCTTCCGGCCGGGCCTGGTTTCTGAGACCCTCAGTGTCCGGACCTTCCACTTCATTGAACAGAACCTCACCACCTACTACGAAATGATGCTGACTGACCGCAAGGAAGCTGCCTCCTGGGCACGTCGGTGAGTGGAGGGAGAACTGGGGTCAGAGCGGGCGGTTCGGCCGGGCTGGAAATCTGAATGCCTGACTACCGGACGGTGCTTTTTTTCCACCTGTGCAGAGTGAAGGTGGTCAGGCCAGGGAGTGGTTTGGTGGCGCCGCGCTGTGTGGGGTGACTCGCACTGCTCCCCGAGCCAGTGTCCCCGGTGAGCCCCCGTTCCCTCCGCCCCTTGCCTTGCAGGATGCACCTGGCTCTGAAGGCCTATCAGGAGCTCCTGGCCACGGTGAACGAGATGGACATGTCCCCGGAGGAGGCTGTGAGGGAGAGCAGCCGCATCATCAAGAGTGAGGCCTGGCCTCTTTCTGGCTTGGCTTTCCCTGTCTCTTGACCAGGACCTCACGCTCCTCAGCTCACCCTTCCTCCAGCTCTCCTGCCCCAAGCTTTCCCGACCTCCTTCCATCCCTTGCTTCTCCCTATTTCTAGATAACATCTTCTACGTGATGGAGTACCGAGAGCTCTTCCTGGCACTCTTCCGGAAGTTTGACGAGAGATGGCAGCCCCGCTCTTTCCTGCGTGACCTGGTGGAAACTACACACCTCTTCCTCAAGATGCTGGAGCGCTTCTGTCGGCACCGCGGGAGCCTGGTGGTGCAGGTGGCGTGCGCCCGGGGGTGGGGCAGGGGGTGGGCAGGACACTTCTCTTCACATTTCTGCAGCTTGAGCTGGTCTCTTAGAACTGCTCTGGTGAAGAGGGGCAGCGCCTTCTTTATGCGTGTTGCCAGCATGAGTCCGCTAACATTTCTTTCTCCCGTTAGAGTAATCCCTCATCTGCCGCAAATATCTCAGTTCACCCAGAGTTACGAGTTACTGAATCACTCAGGGATTCAGGGATTCATCATCTCAGAATTTAGTAGTTATGCTGTGATATTTCCTGCTTAAATTTGAAACATTGGAGTGAAATAGAAAGCCTTAAATTAAAAGCAGATCTGGGATCTCCTGGGTCAGTGCCTATGGGAGTGAACTCAGGCTGTTCATGTCAGTGTCCAGATCACACATTGCCGTGTGAGCCTGGAATGAAATAATAACAGACGAAAAGTCTCAGCAGGAAGGTTGAGTCAAGGGGCGCGTCCCGGAGACCCCGAGCTCTGTCACACTCGTGCTGTCACTCGTGGGCTGCAGCACGTCACAAGGCGCGGTACCGTGCGGCCTGCTGACTCGGCTCAGTGGTGCGCTCATTCACCAGGAGTTTGTACGGGGCAGATGCTGCCTGGTCTGCAGCCCTGGCCCCTTCTGGGACCCCGGCAGGCGCGGTGACTCGTGCCAGTGCCAGGGCAGAGCTGCGGGCACCAGAACGATGCTTCTAGCCTCAGATGAAAGCATCGACTCCTCACAGACCTCAAGGGCTCCCTGCCCCTCCTGTCTACACACAGCTTTGCCTGGGGCAAGCAGAGGCTCGGGAGGGTCAGCTCTGGGATACCGGCTCGCGCTCCTGCCTTTCGGGAGAGTTATGTGAATGTAGCGCTATGCTTTTTACAAAGCCTTTCCAGAATTCTCTACAAAGAGCGTCATATCCTCATAGCAAATCTATTCATTCTGTAGGCATTGAAGATAACATTGCTTTCACGAGGCCGTTCATTACCTGTTTATTACCTGTCCTTCCCCACTAGACTGTAGGTTCCTTGAGGGAAGGGAAAAACTGTCCACCTTTGGCCCCCATTTCTGCGGGTGGCCCACAGTGGGAACGTCTGCTTAACGCGTCTGAAGAGGGTGAGACGACACTGACGGGAGGAATGTCCCCTCAGCGCTCACGCCGTCCTAAGGCGGGTCTTTCTTTGTAGAACAAGCGAAAGAAGAGGAAGAAGAAGAAGAAAGCCCCGCAGGAGCCCGCTGGCCCTGGCGCTGTGCCCCGCAGCCCAGAGGACCTGGACGCGCTGTGGCCGCCGCTGGCTGAGCAGCTGCAGCGCTGTGCCCTGGTGGGTCGTCGCAGCAGCCTGCCTCTCTGGGCGCTCAGGGTGGGCGGGCGGGTGGGTTTGCCTGCGCATACCCGTGGCCTGGCTCCCTCTCCAGGACCCTGACCTGAGCCTGGACTCCATGGTTCCCTTTGATGCGGCCTCAGAGGTGCCCGTGGAAGAGCAGCGGGCCGACGCCATGCTGAAGATCCGGGACGGCCTCCTGGCTGGCCAGGCCCCGCAGGCACTGGCGCTCCTGAGGGCTGCCCGGTGAGGCCCGCCGCCCTCCCCGGCCCAGCTCCCGCCCGCACTGTGGCTCGGCCGTCTCGGTCTCCAGAATTCTTAGACCCAGACGCTGTGCGTCTCTGTGCTGAGCCCTGAGTCCTGGGGAGTTTCCATTAGTATATTTGGGATTTTTGTTTGTTTTATCTTTGAGAAAGACCAGGAGACAGTTACTTGGTAGAAAAATAAATAATTCCACTGCCAAAGATAACCATCTTCCACAGTTCTCCTGTGGAAGTTCCTTCTTTTACAAAGACTAAATACTGCACATACTAACCTATAGTAATTTCCTACTTTTCAGTGTGTCGTGAGCATCATTTCTCATCAGGTGTATTTCTGTAACGATTAATGTCTTCATGATGCCGGCGTGTGAGCTGTACATTTGTTCTACCAAGTGTCAAGCATTTAGATTGTCTGCATTTTGTTTTCATTTATATATAATATATATATATATATATATATATATATATATATTTTTTATACCATTTTAAGAAAAGATCTGTGTATTTATGCATACAAGAACTGGGGTGTGGGCCAGAGGCATGAAGGGGTGAGAGGATTCACCAGAGAACAGAGCAGGGAGCAGAAAAGGTGCATCCACTGAAACACACAGCTGAGGGGGGCAGCAGGGAGGCAGGAGACGTCTGCTGCGCCCTGGGGGCCCCTCTGTGGCTGGGGATTGAACTCATGCTGCAGCGGCTGGGGACAGGTTCATAGTTGCTGAGACTTAACCCCTTGCACCCTCAGGGAGGCCCCACTTTCTGTTCTTATGTGATTTGCACTGTGACATGGAACATGAAGGAAATATTTCTTAGTCTGTTTTATTCTTGAGTTAGTTTATTTTCTCTTTCCAGCGGATCAGTGAAATTGTCTTTGTTTCTTCTCCCGCTTCAAATTGTAAATCAAAATCGCTCTGACCAAAACCTTTTTCCTCTGCACTGCAGGGAGGTATGGCCAGAAGGAGATGTGTTTGGCTCTCAAGACCTTTCCCCAGAGGAAGAGATTCAGCTCCTGAAACAGATCCTGGCTGCGCCCCTGCCCCGTGAGTCTCGCGTCCCCCACGGCCTTCCAGCTCTCCGCAGCAGAGACAGCCGCCCTCACTCTCCTGCAGGGCAGCCGCTGCCAGAGGAGCGAGGCGCGGAGGAGCAGGAGGGCGAGGAGCAGGAGGAGCAGGAGGAGGAGGAGGAGGTGCAGGAGGAGCAGGAGGAGCTGCAGGCGGTCCAGGTGTCGGAGAAGGAGTTCAGTTTTCTGGACTACCTGAAACGGTGCGCGCGACACGGCTGAGTCGGTCCCACGGGCCAGAGCTGCGGGCTGCGGGGCGGCCGCGTCCCTCGCTGGCTGACGTCCGCGCCTCCCTGGCTGGTGCAGCTTCGCGTGCTCCACTGTGGTCCGGGCCTACGTGCTGCTGCTGCGGAGCTACCGGCAGAACAGCGCCCACACCAACCACTGCGTCGTCAAGATGCTGCACCGGCTGGCCCACGACCTCAGGATGGAGGCCCTGCTCTTCCAGCTCTCACTGTTCTGCCTCTTCAACCGTCTGCTGAGCGACCCTGCTGCCGGGGCCTACAAAGTGAGGGGACACCAGGGCAGGGCTCTGGAGGCCACGCAGAGCCCTGGGCTAACGGCTTTTCGTCTGGGAGCAAAGGGACTAAGGGGTGTCAAGCGGGAGACACGAGAGTGGTAACAAGTTGGCTGGCAGTTGGGGGGCTGGAGTGGCGGGTGGAGAGCAGACACGGAGGGGCCAGGCTCGTGTCTGTGCGGCCACCGCCCTCACAGCAGCCTCGCCCGCAGGAGCTGGTGACTTTTGCCAGATACATCCTGGGTAAGTTCTTTGCACTGGCTGCCGTCAACCAGAAGGCCTTCGTGGAGCTGCTGTTCTGGAAGAACACAGCCGTGGTTCGAGAGATGACCGAGGGCTACGGCACCCTGGAGAGTGGGTGAGTGGGCGGCAGGCGGCGGAGCGGCGTGGCCACAGGGTCAGGGCCGCAGGAGCTGGCCGGCTCTGAGACCAGCCTTGCTCCGTCTCGGCGGGGCAGTGTGTCCTGGGAAGGGCCCTGCTGCGGGCCCTCCACGGGCTTTGGTTCTGGAGCCTCAGGGTTTCCCCTCTCTAGTGTCCTTCGTGGTCCTTCATGAGGCTACAGTGGGGTCCAGACAAGGTCTGTGTGTGTCCCGTCAAGATGTGCCAAGAGGCCCACAGGCTGGTTACTCTTCCCCTCTCACCTCAGCGGTCCACAGCTGTCCGGGATAGCGCGTTCCCTACCCAGAGCGGTGGGTCCGTCGGCTGGAAGCTCTTAGTTTGGCTTTGGTGTCCTTTTTTTCTAAACATCAAACATGCTCAGACTTTTTTTTTTTTAAATAAAGATTGCTTTATCTGTGCATATAAGAACTGGGGCACAGGCCAGAGGTGCGGGGGTGAGAGGGTTCACCAGAGACAGCGGGGAGCAGAACAGGCAGATCCACTGAAACACTGCGGAGGGGAGCAGCGGGCAGACAGGAGGGGTCTGCTGGGCCCTGAGGGTCTCTCCCTGGCCGGGGATGGAACTCACGCTGCAGGGGCTACCGGTAGCTTCACAGTGCTGCACTGTAACCAGTTGTACCACTAGGGAGGGCTAGGGAGGGCCGGACCTCAGACTTTAAGGTTCTTAAGAGGAAGGAGGGGAGAGGAGGAAGCGGCCCCCATGGCGGGCTGCCTTCTCCGAGTTCCCCCTGCCCCCGGCCCTTTCCTGGCGAAACTGACCAGAGAGGACCTTTGGGCTCTTCCTGAACCAGCAACCTGCATGTCCCCGGTTCCTTTCCCCTTTAGGGCAGCTGGCCGCAGAGCCCCTGTGTGGAGCCCAGAGGAGGAGGCCCGGCTTCAGGAGCTGTACCTTGCCCATAAGGATGTGGAAGGTACAGGCCTTGAGCTCGCGCCCCGAGCAGGGCCAGCTACACGCGAGCCCTCCTTACGCCTTCCTCCTGCAACACAGGGCAGGACGTGGTGGACGCCATCTTGGCACGCCTGGGCACTGTTCCTCGGACCCGCAAGCAGGTCATCCACCATCTGGTACGGCTGGGGCTGGCTGACAGTGTCAAGGACTTCCAGAGGTACGGCAGTGCGCGCAGGGAATGGCGAGGGCGGTTCTCTGTCCTTTTCCGGTCCCCATCCTTCACTGGCACCCCCAAACAGGAAAGGAACCAACATTGTGCTGTGGACAGAAGATCAGGAGCTGGAGCTGCAGCGGCTATTCGAGGAGTTCCGGACCTCAGGGGGTGAGTGGGCGGGTGCCGGGAGCCGCCAGGCAGAGTCAACTGTTCCTCTTGCTCCCAGGAAGGTCTTACCGCTTCCGTCCACTTAGGTATTTGAGGTGTCATTTTTTAAAAAGATTTGTTTATTTGGCCCTCCCTGGTGGCGCAGCGGGTTAAAGCACAGCACTAAGAAACTAAAGCTACTTCCGCATGAGTTCGATCCCCGCCTGCCCCGGAGGCGACCACAGGGCGCGGCAGACCTCTCCTGGCCCGCCCGCTGCTCCCCTCAGCAGTGTACTTCGTCGATCTGCCTGTTCTGCTCCCCCACTCTGTCTCTGGTGAATCCTCTCACCCTCCGCATCTCTGGCCTGTACCCCAGTTCTGTACAAATAAATAAATAAATCTTTAAAAAAAAAAGATTTGTTTATTTATGCACACAAGAACTGGGGTGCAGGCCAGAGGTGTGGGGATGCGAGCATTTCAGAGACAGTGGGGAGCAGGACAGGCGGATCCCCTGAGACCCACTGCTGAGGGGGCAGCGGGGAGACAGGAGGGGGCCGCCGCGCCCTGGGGGCCCTCCTGGCCGGGGTGGGACTCGGGCCACAGTGGCTGCGCCGGCTGCACAGCGCTGCGCCTTACTAGTTCCTGCTCCACGGGGGGCCTGTGGTGTCACTTTTGAATGACTTGGTCTGGCTTCTTCCTAGAGAATTCTGATTTCCTTCCTCCACTCCCCTCTCCTGTTGCGCCTGGGTCCCAACACCCAGAGTATTCTTGCCCTCTCTCTAGATGTCCTGGGTCACATCATGAAGAATCTCACAGCCAAACGCTCACGGGCCCGGATAGTGGATAAACTGCTGGCGCTGGGGCTGGCGGCTGACCGTCGGGAGCTGTATAAGAAGCGTCAAAAGAAGCCGGCTCCCTCTCCCTGGGTAACAGCCTCCCACTGGGCCACCCCCTGCTTCGAAGTGGCCTGCCCAGACTGTCCTGCCTCAGGCTCCTCGGGCCCGTCCCCTCAGTGGGGTGGTCAGGGGCCAGCGGCCTCCACGCAGGTCCTCATTTGTCTCCTTTTCCCATTCCTCACCCCACTGAATTTCAGCCTGATGGGGAGGAATCCCTGAAAGATTTTTGCCAGGAAGAAGAGGAAAACCTGGCAGAGGAAGAGAGTGGAGAGGATGAAGAGAAAGCAGACAGTGTGGCAGCAGAGCGAGCCAGGGGTAGCCCGGTCCTGGCCACTGGGCGCCTTGGGCGAAGCCTGCACCAGGCAGGTGAGGCCTGAGGTGCGGCCCTTTGCGAGGCGCAGGGTGGGCACGCGTGCCCTGCCTAAATGTCCCCTCTTCCCAGGCTTCTCCGCCCCCCTCCTGTGGCTCCAGAACTGCCTGACTCGAGTAGCTGATGACCGGGAAGCTGACAGTGAGTGGAGGTGGCCTGTGCCGGGCCGGGCGCTGGCGGCGCGCACGCCGGCTCTGGGCTTCAAGGGCAGCTTTCTCCACGTCGCCGCTGCGCGGCCGTTTCCCCCTCCCAGGGTGTGCCCAGGCCGTACCGCTGGTGCCACTGACCGAAGAGAATGAGGAAGCGATGGAAGACGAGCAGTTCCAGCAGCTGCTGCGCAAGCTGGGCCTCCGGCCTCCGGCCTCCGGACAGGTGAGTGCCGGCTGCTGCGTCAGCCGGGGTGCGGTGGTGCCATTGGGAATAGCCCGCGCCCGCCCCGGCAGCCGCTCGCACTGTCCTGTCTCCTGCCCTCTGATCAGGTGCCTGCAGCAGCTGTCCCGCCATCCGCTCTTCAGCTGCTCCTCGCTCCTAAAGGAAGGAGCGACCCGACTTAGCTTTCCAAAGCACGGCTGTGGCTGTGCTCCCTGCCCCGAGCTCTTGGTGGTTTCCTGCTGTTCGTAAAATGGGGTCCCCGGGGCCCTCCCTGGTGGCACAGGGGGTTAAGTCTGCACTGTGAGGCCGTCCGCAGCCGCTGCAACACGAGTTTGATTCCCGGCCAGGGAGTGACCACAGGGCACAGCTGACCCAAGTCTCCCCGCTGCTCTGCTCAGCAGTGTACTCGTCGGTGGCCTGCCCTGCTCCCCACTCTCTCTGGTGGATCTTCTCACGCCCAGCACCTCTGGCCTGTACCCCAGTTCTTGAGTGCATAAATAAATAAGTCTTTAAAAAAAAGAGAAACAAAACGCAGGGGCCATAGCTTCTGAGCTACAGGCCGCCTGTGGCCTCCCGCCACGCTGCCCACACAGCCCGCGGCACAGCCCCCCCGGCCACCTGCCGCGCCCCGCTGCTCGATCATGCCAGTTCCTTTGCTGGAAGGCTGCGGCTGCCCACCAGGGGTGAGGGGCGCCCCACCCTCTCCCTGACCGTCTCCGTCCAACCTTCAAGTTAGTTCGATGGCCGCCTCCTCAGAGGTGAAAGTAGTTGGGGGAATTTGCCAGCCCTGGGTGTTGGCGCTTTGTCCCATTCGCTGTGACTCCCTCAGAGCGCGGGGCTCGCTTCATTCATCGTGGATGCTCGGAAGTCATGAGTTTATGCACCAGACTGCAGCTCCTCTCCTAGGGGCCTCTGACGAGCAGGCGCCGCCCTGCCCAGCGGCTTCTACTCAGTAACGGGAAGTGGACTCAGCGTGGGCCTCACCCCGTCGGGTCACTCACAGACTCCTGGCCGGTCTGAGGCGGCCTTTTCCCGGTACTCTCATCGGCAACTTCTTTGCAGGAAACCTTCTGGCGAATTCCTGCCAAGCTGAGCCCCAGCCAGCTTCGGGGGGCTGCAGCCTCGTTGGGTCGAGTGGAGGAGGAGGAGGAGGAGGAGCTCCAGCCAGCGCCCGGAGAGCCAGGCCTGGCAGGGGCGCCCCCAGCCCCGAGGGCAAGCGCCGGCCTGACGCTCCCAGCAGGTAACCGGCACCTTACGGGGCCTCCCAGAGGGCTGGTGGGTGGCGAGACCAGGAGGACTCGCCTGTCACTGCCCTCTCCCGCTCATCGCTCATCGCAGAGGGACCAGCTCCTGCTGGGGGAGACTCGCCAGAGGTGGCGCCCAAGCGACGGCTGCTGGACAGCGACGACGAGGATGTGGGGAGCACAGGTGAGGGCGGCCCCTGCCCGCACCCTCAGCCCAAGGCAGACACGCCGCCCTTGCCCTGACCTGGGGTGTTCTCGCTTCTCGCCCCAGAGCCGGGAGCACCAGGAATCCGAGAGAAGAAACGGTTTCGGATTGAGGATGACGAGGAAAGCGACTGAAGGCCGGGAGCGAGTCCAAGTCCCAGCAGGCGGCGCCGGCGGCCTCACATTGTGTCCCCCGGGCTGGCGGCGCGTCCCTGGTGTCTCCGGGGCTGCCCCGAGCACCGCCAGAGTCCCCGCGCTCCCGCAGGCGCACCCTAGGGAGCCGCGGCAGGGGCAGGGCGCGCAGTGGGCGTCTGTTCTCCCGGCCTGGAGGTGGCCACCAGCACCAGCGGTGGGACTCCATGAGGGGGAGGGCTTGCCCCCTCGCCCCTGTCTGTTCCTGTGATCACCCCAACACTCCTCAGATGCCCCAGTCGCTGCAGTCCACAGGCGGGACTGCGGTGCCCTCCGCGGGTCTGGGGTGGGGTTTGGTATTAAACAAAACGTGTAAAAGTACAAGTCGTCAGTGTTGACCTGACTCGCAGCTACCACCCAGCCCTCCACCTGCTCCGTGCGCGGACAGACTCCTAAAGCTAGCTGTTAGGGTTCAAGAGACCATTTGCCTTCCTTTGTTTCTGCTTTTGCCACTGAAGACACAGAAAAGTATTTCTTGCAAGATCTTTTGTTTTTTTTTAAGATTTCTTTATGCAGGGGCCCTCCCTGGTGGCGCAGCACTGCAAGCTAGCTGTGGCTGCTTCAATGCAAGTTCGATCCCCGCCCTGGAGACCCACATGGCGTGGCAGACCTCTCCTGACCCGCCCGCTGCTCCCCTCAGCAGTGGACTTCCACGATTTGCCTGTTCTGCTCCCCACTCCGTCTCTGGTAAATTCTCTTAACCGCCCCTGCACCTCTGGCCTGTACCCTGGTTCTGTGTGCATAAATAATTCCAAAAAAAGATTTATTTATGCATACAGAGCTGGGGTGTAGGGGAGAGATGGTGGCCGTGTTGAGGGGATTCCCCACAACAGGTAAACGAAGTCCACTGCAGAGGGGCAGCGGGATACAGGAGGGGTCTGCTGCACCTGTGGGTCATTCCTGGGCCAGGCATCGAACTCGTGCCTCATGCCACAGTGACTGGCAGTAGCTTGATGGCGCTGAGACTCACCCCTGCGCCACCAGGAGGCCCCATCAGACAATTTTCAATTGTCCTTGCAAAGCAGCCCTGACCCACACGTGATGCTGCCAGGCCTCCTGAGGGGCTGCCTAGCTCCTGCTACGTCTCAGGAATCCCAGCGTGCTTGCTTTTGAAGTCTGGGTCGCTCTGAGCCCCCAGCCATAGCATGCCCCGGCAAGCTTTTCCCCATTAGACTGCGAGCACCTTAGAAGTGAGGATTAGGTCCTATTTTAGTTCCCAGAAAGCAGTAGTCATTAACATGGCCAATTCACACTTTTTTCCAGCGCCTTCTATGTATAGTAGTCAACGCACATGCAGAACATCATCAGGTGTCTGTTGAGAGTGGTTACCCAAAGGTGCAGATGGGTTGTATGTGGGAGAATAAAGCTGTCTTCCTGTTTCCGGATTGCATTTCCTCATCCAGGCTAGGATTAAGGCAAAACCAGAAATTTCTCTGGTTTGGTCTGACTTAACAATAGGTTCTCTGTTCCCATTTTTTACCTGGTCTCTTCATGAAAGAACCATTTTGGGGTTTCTACCCAGAAGTCATTCCTGTCCCCCTGCCCTTTATATTCTTGTTTCCCCAAAGTCTAGGGCTGTTTTTGTGGATCTAGGCTTAGGTCTGGGGAAATCCTGATGGGACAGCAGGCCTTAGTCCCAAAGGGAAGCCTGTTGGCAAAAGGAACCAAGGTAAGGAGGACAAAGTCTGAGCGATGAGGAATTGGATAAATATTTGTGACCTCTTAGGTCTTTCACCGTTTTCATAAGACAAACAGTGACCGAGCCAGACAGGTGGAGCATATAAAGGAATCATTGAGATCTCGGCCGCATCCAGCCAAGGACGCGTTCGGCCGTCTCGCTCCTCCGGCTCGTGTCTTTCCGAAGCAGGTAAGGTTGGCCGCAGCCTGGTTGGGAGGGGCACTGAGCTGTGGCCAGCGTGACATGCCTCCAGGGGCTGAGACAGCAGCTCCAAGAGCCCTTGGAGTGTGTGTGCCAAGCCTTTCCCGCTTCCCGGGCTGAGCCCTGACTCTCTCCAGCAGGGCTGCTCCCCCAAGCCACCATGATCCGGGCGGTGCTGCTGCTCTGCTACGTCTCGCTGGGCGCCGTGGCCGCCCTGCCCAGCAGTGTCCAGAGAGGACCCCTGAACTTGCAGCCGTCGTTCAGGGGCACTGGACATCCCCCAAACGTGCTCTCCAGACAGGCTCCTCTCCTGGATGCCAAGACCTGCCAGTATCTCCTGCACACAGCCCCGTCCCTCGCCCCTCTGCCCAGGTACCTGTCGACCTTGGCTCAGGAGCTGGCCCTGGAGGAGGTTGGCTGCTCCACCGAGGCTCACATGCTGCAGCTGCAGCTTACTGGGATGGGAGAAAAGGACACCGCGGACACCCTCCGTGAGATGAAAAGGCACAAGGAGGAGGGAGGGGCTGGTGACACTCAGGTGGTCCCCAGGGGCCTGGGGGTATCTGCCGGGGAGCCGGGGCGGGTCCGGCGGTCAGTCACCCTTCCTGAGGCGTGCAAGTCTGACCGTGGCTGGGTGCTCTTTGAGACAGCAATGCTGATGGTTGAATTTGCTGAGAAGCTTCCTCCCAGTGAACTGATAACAGAGTTCAAAAACGCTGCCACCCAAGTCACCCAGCAGTGCTCGGAAGAATCTTGGGCGCTGTTGGAAAAGCAGTGCGAAAGGCTGATAAAAAGCCCTGAAATTCAGAATATCTCGATGCCTTTAGAAGATCAGCTGTACTTTGTTGAGCGTTTTGTAGCCCTTTTGATTCGCATTTTCCTGGACGCCGTATGGAGACAGTGGCAAACGTATTTTGGGTAGAGCAGCCCGCCTCAGCTTCCTGAGTCTGTTCCCAGTGTCTGCGAGGACAGTGCGTCAGGCCTGGGCGCGGCAGGTGGCTGTCAGCGGAGTTTGCTGCTGTTTCCATCCTGATGAGCACATGGGCCTGGAATTCACTTCGCCCCCTTCTTCGTAGGTTCTAGCATCGATTTCTCCTTGCAGTTTTTCTTGCCATTATCAAATATTGTGAATTTATTATATTCTAGGCATGAAGGGTGTTGTAATCTTCCATTCATTTGCCTTTCACGTTTTAACTCTCCAGTTGGGTCCTGTGGCATGGTTATGTTAATTTTAAACTGAAAAGAGAAATGAAAATGTGTCAGGGGTTAAGTCTCAGCCTGGTTGTAAAGTAGGGGAATTCTCTGGCCCCAAACCTAAAAGCACAGAACCTGACCCAGGATGGCTGAGATGTGCCCAAGAGCAGTAGCATTACTTCAGAACTGAGTAACTGAAAAGAACACCAGCCCCCTCAGCCTGCTTCCCATGTATGAAACAGAACACTCAGCGTGATTATAGCAGCCTGTGATTGTCCTTGCGGTGAAGAGAAACCTGTTCACCTCAGAAGTTTTTGCCTTTCATAATAAAGTCGTGTGACTCCTTAAATCATATGTGCTTGCTTTATTCTGTCCTGAAATGAGTGGCGATTCCCCAGAGAGAGGTCGGACGGGCCTGGAGCCCAGCAGGTCTCATGATTCTCACATTGAGAATTAATTAGATGCCATAGATCTCATCAGTCTCCCTGGTGGCACAATGGGTGGTTAAAGCATGGCGCTCTGAAGCTGCCCGCAGCGGCTGCTCGAGTTCAACTCTCAACCAGGGAGGGACCCCAGGGCGCAGCAGACCTCTCGTCTCCCCACGCTGCTCCCCGCAGCAGTGGATTTCAGTACATTTGCTTGTGCTCCCCACTCTGTCTCTGGGGAATCCTTTCAGCCCCTACCTCTGGCCTGTACCCCAGCTCTTGTGTGCATCAATAAGTCAATCTTTTCAAAAAATAGTCAGGACCCTCCCTGGTGGCGCAGTGGGTTGAAGCACTACACTAGGAGCTGAAGCCACTTCCGCATGAGTTCGATCCCTGCCTGCGCCGGAGAAGATCCACATGGCATGCAGACCTCTCCTGACCCGCCTACTGCTCCCCTCAGCAGTGTACCTCGTTGATCTGCCTATTCTGCTCCCCGCTCTGTCTCTGGTGAAGCCTCTCACCCTCCGCATCTTGGGCCTGTACCCCAGTTCTGTAAGAACAAATAAATCTTTAAAAAAAAAAAAAGGTCAGATGACATCAATCTCACCATTCCGGGTGGCAGGAATGAGGCTTATTCTCTGCTTAAGACCGGGGGTGTATTACGGTAGAATCAGTTACAAGCCCGAGTTTTACGACCTCCACAATTTCTAGACCTCTATTACCTAACATTTTTTGGATGAGGGATGTTCTAGATCAACTCTGTCCAATACCGTGAGTACTAATTCCATGTGTCTCCTCAGCGTTGAGGATGGTACTGTTGAGGACCTAAGTTTAGTTTTTCTTTCCGCGTAGGTTTTAAATTCTTCATAACTTGCATTTTTGCTACTGCCCGGTAGCAAGTCAAGGTGGAATGGGCCAAGCTGTGTCCCTTCGCCTCTCTGTCCCCATGCATACCTTGAAGGCCTAACCTTTGAGGGAGGCTATTTTTGGAAATTGGGCCTTCAGGGGAGAATTAAGTTAAATGAGGTCCTCAGAGTGGGGCCCTAGGACAGTGGGGCCAGGGGCCAGTAAGATATGGAAGAGACAGCAGGACACGTGAGTGCAGAGAAAAGGCCTGTGAGGGCAGTGGGCGTGGCCCCACGTGGAGATGCCGCCGAGGAGAGCCAGGCCTGCCAGCTCCTCCACCACCAGACTGTGAGAAACAAATTCCTGTTTTGTTTTGCTTAAAGATGTTTATGCATACAGAGCTGGGGTGCAGGCCAGAGGCACAGGGGTGGTGAGAAGTTTCACCAGAGACAGAGTGGGGAGCAGAACAGGCAGACTGGCAAAGTCCACTGCTGAGGGGAGCAGCGGGTGAGTCAGGAGAGGTCTGCTGTGCCATGTGGGTCAGCCCCTGGGCGGGGATGGAACTCAAGCGGAAGTGGCTTCAGCTTCTCAGTGCTGCGCTTTAACCCGCTGCGCCCCCAGGGAGGGCCCGCAAATCCCTGTTTTGTACGTCACCCAGTCTGTCTCTTGTTCCAGTGGCCATTCAGTAGGGATCTTTGTTCATGTGTTTCCTGGTATCTTGAGAATCCATGCAATCTGAGTGTTCTTCATTCTAAAACTACCTCATCACTAAAAACATTTTCTCACTTCCTTTTTTGAGTTAACTTTTTTTGTTGTTGTTGTGGTCAAAGAAACATGTAACCTCTTAGCTACTTCTTCCATGTTCAGTAATGTTGCTCAGTAATGTGTGCCACCCAGCTCCAGGGCCTTTCTGGCTGGCAAAACTGTCCTATTTCCTGTCTCCTCAGCCTCTCTCTACCTCCTTCTCCTTTCTGTTTCTAGAATGGACTCTACATACTTCATGTGAGTGGGATGGAATTATGCCTGACCTGTCTTTCTGCGTCTGACTGCTTCACAGCTGTCCTCAAACTGCATCCACATGACAGCACCAGTTCATTCCCTTCCTGTGTGAAAATGACACTGGGTATCTGTGTGTGTGTCCACTCCTGTGCTGAGGACACCTGCATTGTTCCACCTCTTGGCAGGTTGGTATAGAGTTGCTATAAACATGGGCATGCACGCTTTTATTTTATTTTATTATTTTAAAAGATTTATTTATGCACACAGAACTGGGATACAAGCCAGAGGTGCAGGGGTGGTGAGAGGATTCCCCAGAGACAGAGTGGGGAGCAGAACAGATGGATCCATTGAAACACTGGTGAGGGAGCAGCGGGGGACAGGAGGGGTCTGCGGTGTCCTGTGGGTCACTCCCCGGCCAGAGATTGAACTCCTGCTGAAGTGGCTGTGGACAGCTTCACAGTGCTGCGCTTTAACCCCTGCGCCACCAGGGAGGGCCCCCGCCTCTAGATTTTTACCCAACAGAAACAAAAGCATGTTCACAGCGCCTCATTTTGAGAGGAGAAACTGGAAACACAGGGGAACTATGGAGAGTACAGTGATGTAAGGAGAAAAATTAGTTAGTGAAAAAATAATTCCAATCAACCCAAAGGCCCATCAACATGTGATATACAGTGAATTTTCACACAATAGTCAATTACTAAGCAGTGAAAAGAATGAAGCGTGACCACCTAGATGGACTTCAAAACAATTATGTTGCGGGAAAGAAGTCAGACAAAAAGAGCACTTGCTGCATAATTCCACTTTCAGAATAGCCTAGAAGCCACAGGTTCACCTGTAGGGACAGAAACCGAATCATGGTTGCCTGGGGATGAGCGGAAGGAGGGAAGGGGAGGGAGGCCGTGGACGTGCTTGGCGACCGTCGTGGTTCCCTGGCGGAGGCACAGGTCAACACCCCTCGGCTGAGTACTGGAAGTATGTGCAGCTTCTTTACAGCGCCTCCAAGCAAGTACTTAAAACACCAGGTACAAGGGGAATCGGGGTATAGGCGAAGGGAGGAGGAGCATGGCTGGGGGTGCAGGCTTGGGTCTGAAGCCCCGAGCCTGGACAGGGCTGTGGGAGAGGCCAGGGGCTCTAGCTGAGGTGAGCACTTCTACCAGTTTCACATTTGGAAATGGTTTGGATGATCTTTTTTTTTTGCACATTTTTTTTTTTCCATCTCGATTGTAATCCCCGCGGGTTTCCCATCACCAGATAAAAATATGGAACGCTTCACGAATTTGCGTGTCATCCTTGCGCAGGGGCTATGCTAATCTTCTCTGTATCGTTCCAATTTTAGTATATGTGCTGCCGAAGCGAGCACTGGATGATCTTTTTAAAAGATTTATTTATGCATGCATGCAGAACTGGGGTACAGACCAGAGGGGTGGGGGGGGAGAGGACTCCCCAGAGAGAGTGGGGATTAGAACAGATGGATCTACTGAAGCATACTGCTGAGGGCTACAGGAGGGGCCTGCCTGGCCCTAGGGGTCATCTCCAGGTGGGGGATCGAACTCGTGCTGAGGCTCCTCAGCAGCCTGCAGTGCTCACTGTGACCCTGTGAGCCACCAGGGAGGGCCTGAATTCTTATCTTAAACTAAGAATGATGTTGAATGACTTTTCAGACTTTTCCTGTTTTGTTTTTGTTTTTTTTTTTTCACTTCATTCCGTCCCAACAACTCTTGCCACATGATTTGGGGTTCCAGAAAATTCATCCATTTCCCTTTCATATAGAGACAAAGAAAAGGTTTCCTCTTCCTGGACAGAGGTCCACGGTAACCTCTGCAGGGACATGGGGCTGGGCTGCCGGCGCCAACGGGGGGAAGAGGCTGTTTGTCAGCTCGGAGCAAAGGTGAGGAGCGCAAAGTCTAGGCTGCAGGGAGATGCATAAATATTTGCAAGTGCTGTGTCCTTCACTGTTCCTGGAAGCCATCTGTTTTCTGGCTGCCTCATGGTTCTGGCAGCGATAAAGGAGAAGGTGGACAAAAACTCAAAAAAACCATCCACACCGGATGGCCTCCGTGTGAAGTCTGAGTGGCCCCCAGGGCGCAGCAGGCCTCTCCTGTCTCCCTACTTCCCCCTCCCACCCACACCCCCCCTCCAGTGGATTTCAGTAGATCTGCCCGTTCTGCTCCCCACTCTTGTCTCTGGGGAATCCTCTCACCGCCCCTCACTCTGGCCTGTACTCCACTTCTGTATGCATAATAAATCTTTTACAAATATTGAAATAAAATAAATATACAAAACAGTCCTTCAGGTCACGAAAATAACAAAGCCAAGATGTTTGTGCTGTTCCACTGACTTCACCCCCACAGCCAAGAGTAGGCATGAGGTGGTTCTGGGAGAGGGATGCCTCCAGGGACTAAGACATTCCCTCGCCCTCTCAGCCTTGCTCTGTCTTCCTCCCTGGCCATTCCCTGCTTCCCAAGCTGTCCTGCGTCCTCCGCGATCTTCACGGAGTCCAAGCTGCCCTTTGCTAGGCCTCAGTGTCTCCGTCTCGGCCTTGCCAAGAAAGGCCTAAACAGAATCCCTGAACTTGTAGCCATTTTCACGAAAACTGGGCAGCCCCCTCCAGGATCCACCGGGACCCCTGCACACAGCCCCTTTTCCATCCTCTGCAGCTCTGCTTGGGGTGGCCCCTAGGCGGCTGCCCAACTGAGGCCCACACTCAGCTCAGCCTGGTGGGACTGGGAGAAGGCGCCACTGAAACCCCACCCGTGCTTCTGCCTAGAGGCCTTCCCCAAGCTGCTGTGACACAGTTCAAAGAATTTAGGACTGCAGCATGAGTCTTGGGAATATGTCGAAGAATTGGGCAAAAAGCTGAAACCCCCAAGTTCAGAATCTTTCAGTGTCTATGGATGATGACTGTGTGATTTATCATAGTTCCACAGTTACTCTGAAGCGTTTTATGGGAAAATTCTATCAAGAATTCCGCTTCAGTGACAAGGGTCCTTTCCCGAGGCTCTATTCAAGGTGAGACACAGCAGTTAGAAGTGTTAGGACAGCCGTATGTTCTTTGTTTCATCCCGGTGCTAAGACACACATGTGGCTGCTGTGAGCCTGCCCTCTGCACTCAGGTGCTCCCAGTTTCTGGCTTTTTTTTTAAGATTTATTTATTTATGCATAGACAACTGGGGTACAGGCCAGAGGTGCAGGGGGAGTGAGAGGATTCACCAGAGACAGTGGGGAGCAGAACAAGCAGACTGATGAGGTACACTGCTGAGGGGAGCAGCGGGGAGACAGTCGGTCTGCTCCAGGCCGGGGACTGAACTCATGCTGCAGTGGCTGCAGACAGCTTGATAGTGCTGAATTGAACCTGTGTGCCATCAGAGCAGCTCTGCCAACTGAAATTTTAAACTGAAGAGAAAAATAAAATAAGGAAGACTCGTAGCCATCTCCTATCTCCTGACTCTGAGTGTCCTGGGTCCCATCACAGGAGTCCCAGGAGAAAGGTGCCAGGCCATGGGAATGCCAGAGAGCGGGCAGCGTCTTAGGGCTGAGGTCGAGCGTGTAATAGGAGAACAAGCGTTAAACGGACAAATATTTGCAGATTACATCCATACTGATCAATGGGGAAAGTAAGTTTCTCCTGTTTTGTGGGAGAGCGAACTGGACAGAACAGAACAGGCAAGAGAAGCAAACAAACCTATCTCACTTCTCGGCAACTGGACTGTGTGGTAATGGGGAGCCCTAACAGTGGGTGGGAATAAAGTGGAGGAAGGCCCCATGCCTTGAGGCGGGGAGGCCCGGGTGGGAGCACAGGCTGGCGGTTCCTGTTGGAGCCTCTACTGGAAAGAACAGACCTCGGAGGGATGCGCAAGGCGCCCACCGAGTGCGGGTCCCTGTGCACCACAGCCCTGGGAAGTTTCTGTGTGTCTGGCGTCTCCCTCTCCAGGTCCTCCGTCCCAGAAATGTGCCGTCTCAGACTCACCGTGCGGTCAGCGAGGCTGCTGCTCTGCTATCTCCTGCTGCACCCTGTGGGGGCCACTTCATGTGGAAACCAGACAAATGTCCCTACACCCCTTCCACCATCCCTGGGACCTTGGCCGACTTCCTCAGGCCCCTTGTCCTGCCAGACCTTGCACCCCAAATCCCTGTCTGGCTTCACCCATATGGCATCTCCACACAAGTTCCTGGTGGGCCTGCCGCTGGTGGGAGCCCTGGAGGAGATGGGCTGTTCCGAGGAGGCCGGGACCCTGCGGCAGCAGCTCTACCGCCTGGGGGGGGTGACAGCTACGCAGATCCTCATCCGACATCTCCGAGAGCTTCAGAAAGGAAAAAGCACGAGGAGGAGTGTGTCAGTGGACACCCTGACCTCTGCTTTGCAACTGCTGGCCAGGGGACAGGCAGGTCCTGACAGAGCCCGGCGCTCCCCCTCCATCAGCGACTGCGAGCAGGAGCAGGAGCAGAGTGTATACAACATCGTGCGGATGCTACCGGGGGTGGGGATGTACTACAACCTCGGCACAGCTCTGTATTATGCGTCTCAGAACTGTGCAGACAAGGCCAAGGAGCGAGGCCGAGATGGGGTCTTAGATCTGGGTTATGACCTTCTGATGACCGTGGCTGGAGTGTCAGGAGGACCCATGGGCTTATGGATCAGTGCTGCTCTTAAACCTGCAGTGAAGATTGGGGTGCAGAGGTTGATCCAGTATTACAATGAAGAAGATACCAACACCCCTTACCCAGAGACCGGCCGGAGGGTTTGAGAGACACCTCACCTGTGGAAATGATGTGCAAGAAATAACTCTATGCCCCAGCTGGTGTCAGAATCAGTAAATGCAGGCCCTCCATGGCCGTGCAAGGGATTAAAGTGCAGCACTATGAAGCTCTCTCTCTGCAGCCACTGCAGCTCAAGTTCGATCCCCAGCCAGGGAGTGACACACAGGGTGCAGCAGACCTCTCCTGTCTCCCTGCTGCTCCCCTCAGCAATGTGTTTCAGTGGATCTGCTTGTTCTGCTCCCCACTGTGTCTCTGGTGAGTCCTCTCATCCCCTGCCTGTACCCCAGTTGTTGTGTGCATAAATAAATCTTAAAAGAAAAAAATGTCTAGTTCCTGGCTAGGGAGGTCACTCTTGGAGCATTGAAAAGCTATGACTTACTTTACAGGAAAGGGAGTTTTGGGATATTAAAGAAGGCAATAAACACAAAATGATTAAATCGAATATTTTGACAAGCTGAATGTGTGTTCCAAATCCAAATTCTGATTTATTACTGAGGAAGGTAGAACTGTAAAATTTTACAGTTCGGGGTTTGCAGTCAGAGGATTTTGTCTTGAGTCCAGGCTCTACTTGTCAGTGTCTCAGCAGTCACTGGCCAGTACCTTTAAAATTTTCTCCAAGCTTAGTATTTTAAACGTCTAATGTGTGGATAATGACTTTTCACCCGAGGATCTGTGGAAACTGAAAACAAAACAATGAGGGTCCTGCCTGGTGGTGCAACAGGATAAAACACAGCAAGCACCACGCAGCCGCCCGCGGCCGCTGCAGCACGAGTTTAGCTCCTGGCCACAGAGTGACCCCCAGGGCCCAGCGGACCCCTCCTGACCCAGCCCCGGCACCCCTCGGCAGTGTGTTTCAGTCCCTCTGCCTGTTCTGCTCCCCACTCTGTCTCTGGTGAATCCTCTCACCCTCACTCCTCCGGCCTGTACCCCAGTTCTTGTGTGCATAATAAATAAATCTTTTAAAAATAAAATAAATAAAAACAAAACAATGAACCTAAATTAGGTGCTTAGCACAAAAGCACCAATGGTGTTTCGGGTATTATTATGATTTTATTATTATTTATTATCATTATTATTATCATTATTTCAGCCCGCCCTTCCCACCTCAAACGTGTGGACAACCCGGTCCCACCTCTTCTGGAGCGGGTAGCTTTGGGGCTCGAGCCAGTCTCAGTTCTGCTTCTGGGCGGAGGTTTCTCAGAAATCAGCTGTTTCGAGCCCCGGGCTCCCACTAACCGGCTCCTCCTCCCGCAGGCGGGGGGCGGGGCTTGCCCGAGCTGTCGCACCAATCGCTGAAGCTGGAAATACGGCGTCGGCCCCCTCGCGGCCCCGCCCCCGAGCGCGGGCGGCGCC